TCTCGCCCCGTCCCCCTTGTCTCGCCCCGTCCCCCTTGTCTCGCCCCGTCCCCCTTGTCTCGCCCCGTCCCCTAGTCTCGCCCCGTCCCCTAGTCTCGCCCCGTCCCCTAGTCTCGCCCCGTCCCCTTGTCTCGCCCCGTCCCCTAGTCTCGCCCCGTCCCCTTGTCTCGCCCCGTCCCCTAGTCTCGCCCCGTCCCCTAGTCTCGCCCCGTCCCCTTGTCTCGCCCCGTCCCCTTGTCTCGCCCCGTCCCCCTTGTCTCGCCCCGTCCCCTAGTCTCGCCCCGTCCCCTAGTCTCGCCCCGTCCCCTAGTCTCGCCCCGTCCCCCTTGTCTCGCCCCGTCCCCTTGTCTCGCCCCGTGTGAGGGATCCCAGATCATTATACTGGGAGCTCCTGCCTCGGGTCCTTCAATGCCACCTGTTGGTCCTTCAGTACAGGACTCCATTCCTACCACCAGACTGCCCTGTACTCACCTTGTTCTTGCGGGAGTTGAGCTGCGGCTCTTTGGTCCTGCTTCTCAACTGTCAATTATTTAGAGGGAGGGGGATGGGTATTGGGGTTTGTTATACAATGAAACCTTGTTATTTGAACCTGATACTTGCTTACCATCGAACAGAGAGCCCAACCACTCCCTGACAGAACAAACAGCCGACCTCAGTAGCCACAATCACGCTACTGTCGGTCGACCAGCAATAAACACTGGAGTGCTTGCAATTATTTGGGAGATCACCCTGGTAAGCGTCTGGTTCTCGGAGAGGGGTTCAGCGTCGCCTTTATTTCAGGGGCACGGCTCACACTGCCTAGTCGTCATGTGTACACACACACACCCGCTCTTGACTCCGTGACTCCCCGCACTTACTGTGGGATGATCTCTCAATCCTCCTTAGTTATAGTCCACTATCACCTAAGTTATCTCTCTCTCTCTCTCGGCCAGGAAGCCTCACCAGGACATGAGCAAAAGCCAGCTAACAAATATAACATTTAATACATAGGAACATACACAATATACATACAGGAATATTTATGAAACAATGCAACCTCTTAGGCTGCTACCAACTGACACTCCAATATCGCCTTTTATCTCCAACCTATAACTGTATCAGGCTGCTGCTTAAAACCCAGCCTACAACCTTCTGCTCCCTTCACTGCTTTAGGCTGCAATACATGACACATAAGATATTCACATACTTCCTATTCTACAAAAGCATCAATCTCTCACCTTGCACTGCGTCTATCATGCCAAAACGCAATCAAGCATTCCCTTAAACATAAACGTGTCCGTAAGATCCTCTGTTCCATTACTCGAGGTCCTCCAGTACAATCATCAATCTTGGTCCTCAAAGTATCACGGAAGGTACTCCTGCAGTTCCTCCAATCAGCTGCACATGAAGTCCTCCTTGAATGTCAGTGAAGCTCCTCCACCGGCTTCACACAAGATACGTGTAGCTCTCCACACTCCTTGAAGTTTCATTATGTCACTGGAGTTCCACTCCTCAACTCGAAGTCCTGCACCACCTTGCAGTTCAGCTTATACTCGTCCTCCGCTACGACGCTCTCTCACCAACTTCTCCCACACAAACGTTGCAGTTCTTCCACACAAACGTTACAGTTCTCCCACACAAACGTTGCAGTTCTCCCACACAAACGTTGCAGTTCTCCCACACAAACGTTGCAGTTCTCCCACACAAACGATGCAGTTCTCCCACACAAACGATGCAGTTCCCCCACACAAACCACAGAATTCGTACCTCGAGGTCGTTCAACTCCGGCCCTCCAAGATGGCGTCCTCTAAGATATCCAACAAAGTTTCTTTAAGACTGCCTCACAGCTCTTCTGCTCCTGCCTTGAGTACATGGAGTCGCCCATCAGGCTCCACAACAGAAACGCCTGCTCGCTTCTTTCCTCCTGAAGAAGCAACAAAATTAGAGTTCCACACAGGCACAACCAACACACACTTCCAAGTCACCTCTATGTCTAGCATTAACAGCTTAAAACACGTCTCCTTCTCTCGGCATTCGAAAACTGGCTTCCAATTGGCTGCTTGACGTGACGTCATTGTTTTATCTCCTCCTGATCTTTGTCTAACTTCCCTTTTCCATTTTCATCTCTTCGTTTTTTTTTCAATTATCTTTCTCTAATTTATTTATATTTTCAGTCATTACCAACAATGTTTTCACTTCATTTCCACATAATTCGTCTAACCACTTGGACTGGACAGTCTCGCTTCATGCAGGTCGGTGTTCAATTCCCGACCATGCAAGTGATTGGGCACCATTCCTTCCCCTCGTTTCATCCCAAATCCTGACCCCCTTCCCAGTGCTATACAGTCATAACGGCTTGGCGCTTTTCCCCTGATAATTCCATTCCCTAGAAGATAGGAAATTAAAATTTCCTATCTTCCTCCACTTCTTACTCCCTGTCTTCCTCATCAGACTTTCTCTCCTATTCCTCATATTATTAGCAGGGATGCAGGTGTGGGTAGCGGTTCCTTGATGATGAACGCAAGAGGGGAAACGCGAGGGGAGCTTGTGTGTGTGTGTAGTGAATACTTGTTAGGGAGTGTGTGTCTCCTTATGAACACAGACGAGTTAACATCTTTGTATCGATTCTCACGTCTGCAGTTAATCTGGGATATTGGGTTGAGGTTTGGCACTTGGGAGAACGAGTGAGAGGTCTGCGGTTGCGGGTAAGGTTGAGAGGTCGGCCACTTGCACCACTTATGCTCCTGTGAGTGGGAGTGTGACAGTGAATACCTCATTATTCTTTCCATTGAACAGTTGAAGAGTATGAGGCTGAGAATGCCTCCTTGCGGTGTACCATTTTCATATCTTTTGTATTTAGTGACTCTGCCATGAAGTTTTACTCTTACTTCTCTGTTTATCAAACAGTTTTTGTTCCAGGCGTGCAGGTTGCCTTTGACTTCTTTGTCGATGAGGCAGCAGAGAATAGTTGGAGCGCTAGCTAGGTCAATTTTTTTTCCACTCAAGTTTGTTGAGTACCATCTGTCAGCTGTCTTGGCTGCACAGGTGTGGAGAGAAATGGGCCATGGATTAGTTAGATCTTTGGGTTTTGGGATCGGCACTGTGTTTGCCCAATTCCAAGCGGTAGGTCTAGTTTGAGAAGTCCAGACTTAATTAATTAACTTTAGGTATGTAGCATCTCCCATTGGGCTGAGGTTTCTAATCTTTTTAAAGGTTATTTTGTCGTCTCCAGGGGATGTAGCTTTGGAATTTTCTTAGCCCGATTGAGTTCATCCAGTGTGAAAGAGGTATCAATGTCAGCGGCTTCTGCACATGCTGTAAAGATTCTGTGCCACCTTTTTTCCTTTAATCCTTTCTGCACTGCTACTGCATCTGGTGGAAGCTTATTACTGGCTGCTCTTTCTGCAAGTTTGGTTGCCAGTACTTCGGTTTCCTGTTGAGGATCCTTAAAGTAAGGGTTTTTGGTATTTTATTTACTTTGGCCCTGTGGATTTGCTGCTACACCTCTCCAAGAGAGGCGTGTTGTTTCAGGTGAAAACACCATTCCAGTCACTTTTATTCTTTGATTATCCTGGTCTCTTGATGCACATGTTCCTTGACATCACAAAGTAGGGTCCTGTTGCGGTCACTTGGCTACTTTTTGTATAGCTTCCTTGTGCTGCTGAGTCTATGATTGAATTCTTTGACACGTCCGCAATAGTACCGGTGATCATTGTGGTGTCTGGTGGACTGTTTTTTTCAGTGGAATTGAGTGGTTGGCTGCACTTTGAATTGCTTTGACAAATTCTTATTCTGCCTGATTAAAGTCTTTGGGAAAACATAGTTTCTATGTTGTTCCCGAAGACTTCGTCTAGAAAAAGATGGAGGGAACTAGATTACATTCAACTTTGAAATTGATAGGAGCCAGGTTGTTAAGAGAGGAGAGATAGGAGCCAGGTTGTTAAGAGAGGAGAGATAGGAGCCAGGTTGTTAAGAGAGGAGAGATAGGAGCCAGATGGTTAAGAGAGGAGAGATAGGAGCCAGGTTGTTAAGAGAGGAGAGATAGGAGCCAGGTGTTAAGAGAGGAGAGATAGGAGCCAGGTTGTTAAGAGAGGAGAAGAAATGGATATGACTAAGGTCATGAGGCCACAGAGCAAAACCGTGAGCATAACGAAGCCAGAGAGAGGGACGAGTGTCAATAGTGGGAAGAAGAACAGTGCCAAAGTGCTCCATACAGATACTGGCAAGAACAGGGCAGTGACGGGAACCCATAGCCTCACCGAAAGTTTGAGAGCAGTATTTTCCAGTGAAAGAAAAGGAGTTTGAGTCAATACAGAGTCTGACGAGAAACTCATTAGACAAGGGAAGGGGGAGAGTGGGTCACACCCATGGGGGGGAGTGGGTCACACCCACCGGGGGCGGGAGGGGGGAGTGGGCCACACCCAAGGGGGGATTGACTGGGCTCCAGTCAGTACCAATTCGCCCCTGTTCACCCAGTAGTAATTATGTACCTGGTTGCTATATGAGTGGCGGGTGGAGTTTCAGGAACAACTAGTGGGTAAGATTTAACATGAGCCATGAGAAAGGGCAGCGCTCGGCCTGCTAACAGGAGTCAGGCAGGAGCAGGAGCAGTCGCCCCTGGTCGCACCTGCAGGGACACGTTATACCTGGGGTCACTTGAGACCGTCAGCGCTGCTTCGTTAGGGCTGTTGTCAAGGTGTCCAACGTCATCCCTGACCTCATGTCCGCATCGTTATCACGAGTGTATCTTCTGATGACAACGGTGGCAGAGTATATGACACCAGGGGGGAGTCCTCATTATGGGGGAGTCCTCATTATGGGGGAGTCCTCATTATGGGGGAGTCCTCACTATGGGGGAGTCCTCATTATGGGGGGAGTCCTGATTATGGGGGGGAGTCCTCCTGATTATGGGGGGGAGTCCTCCTGATTATGGGGGGGAGTCCTCCTGATTATGGGGGGGAGTCCTCCTGATTATGGGGGGGGGGAGTCCTCCTGATTAGGGGGGGGGGGAGTCCTCCTGATTAGGGGGGGGAGTCCTCCTCATTATGGGGGGAGTCGTCCTCATTATGGGGGGAGTCGTCCTCATTATGGGGGGAGTCGTCCTCATTATGGGGGGAGTCGTCCTCATTATGGGCGGAGTCGTCCTCATTATGGGGGGAGTCGTCCTCATTATGGGGGGAGTCGTCCTCCTCATTATGGGGGGAGTCGTCCTCCTCATTATGGGGAGAGTCGTCCTCCTCATTATGGGGAGAGTCGTCCTCCTCATTATGGGGAGAGTCGTCCTCATTATGGGCGGAGTCGTCCTCATTATGGGGGGAGTCGTCCTCATTATGGGGGGAGTCGTCCTCATTATGGGGGAGTCGTCCTCCTCATTATGGGGGAGTCCTCATTATGGGGGGGAAGTCGTCCTCATTATGGGGGGAGTCGTCCTCATTATGGGGGGAGTCGTCCTCCTCATTATGGGGGGAGTCGTCCTCCTCATTATGGGGAGAGTCGTCCTCCTCATTATGGGGAGAGTCGTCCTCCTCATTATGGGGGGGGGGGAGTCCTCATTATGGGCGGAGTCGTCCTCATTATGGGGGGAGTCGTCCTCATTATGGGGGAGTCGTCCTCCTCATTATGGGGGAGTCCTCATTATAGGGGCGTCCTCATTATGGGGGGGAAGTCGTCCTCATTATGGGGGGAGTCGTCCTCATTATGGGGGGAGTCGTCCTCATTATGGGGGCGTCCTCCTCATTATGGGGGGAGTCGTCCTCATTATGGGGGGAGTCGTCCTCATTATGGGGGGAGTCGTCCTCATTATGGGGGGAGTCGTCCTCATTATGGGGGCGTCCTCCTCATTATGGAATGTCATAAGAGCTTCACCTGTTGGCTGCACCACTCAGCATAACTAAACCTGCCTGACACAACAGTTAGCACGATCTCACCTGCTACTACATAAACCAACACAAAGATGCTATAGCTGTAAAAAGCACTAAAATTGCATCTACTGTGTATCGACATTAAAATACGCACTCGCTTGTTCTATTTAAAGGAGAGTGCACACAGACCCCAGTAAGGCTGTAGTGTGCAAGGGTCCTGGACACGACTACACAACACATCAGAGTGTAAGATCAACTGACAGCACACAAACCCAGCAGCAACAGCAGCACAAACCCAGCAGCAACAGCAGCACAAACCCAGCAGCAACAGCAGCACAAACCCAGCAGTAACAGCAGCACAAACCCAGCAGCAACAGCAGCACAAACCCAGCAGCAACAGCAGCACAAACCCAGCATCAACAGCAGCACAAACCCAGCATCAACAGCAGCACAAACCCAGCAGCAACAGCAGCACAAACCCAGCATCAACAGCAGCACAAACCCAGCATCAACAGCAGCACAAACCCAAGCAGCAACAGCAGCACAAACCCAGCATCAACAGCAGCACAAACCCAGCATCAACAGCAGCACAAACCCAGCATCAACAGCAGCACAAACCCAGCAGCAACAACAGCACAAACCCAGCAGCAACAGCAGCACAAACCCAGCATCAACAGCAGCACAAACCCAGCAGCAACAACAGCACAAACCCAGCAGCAACAGCAGCACAAACCCAGCAGCAACAGCAGCACAAACCCAGCAGCAACAACAACATTTAACCCAAGCAGCGGCAGCAACAACAGCAGCAGCAGCACTTGACCAAAACAAAGACAGCGAGCAGAACAAGAGCACTCACCCCAAACAAGCACATGGACAACTGGAGGAGAGTATCGACAGCATTAGCAGAGCAACAACAACAAATCAACGAGGCAAGCGGTGGTGGCCGACTGTCTCGGCTCTCGTTAACACACGGTCGATGGTGAATTGCTTAGTCTGCCGGGAGGGCCAAGGAACACCCCCAGTGGTGGAAGGTGAAGATAACCCCGGTGGTGGAAGGTGAAGATAACCCCAGTGGTGGAAGGTGAAGATAACCCCGGTGGTGGAAGGTGAAGATAACCCCAGTGGTGGAAGGTGAAGATAACCTCAGTGGTGGAAGGTGAAGATAACCCCAGTGGTGGAAGGTGAAGATAACCCCAGTGGTGGAAGGTGAAGATAACCTCAGTGGTGGAAGGTGAAGATAACCCCAGTGGTGGAAGGTGAAGATAACCCCAGTGGTGGAAGGTGAAGATAACCTCAGTGGTGGAAGGTGAAGATAACCTCAGTGGTGGAAGGTGAAGATAACCTCAGTGGTGGAAGGTGAAGATAACCCCGGTGGTGGAAGGTGAAGATAACCCCAGTGGTGGAAGGTGAAGATAACCCCAGTGGTGGAAGGTGAAGATAACCTCAGTGGTGGAAGGTGAAGATAACCTCAGTGGTGGAAGGTGAAGATAACCTCAGTGGTGGAAGGTGAAGATAACCTCAGTGGTGGAAGGTGAAGATAACCCCGGTGGTGGAAGGTGAAGATAACCCCGGTGGTGGAAGGTGAAGATAACCCCGGTGGTGGAAGGTGAAGATAACCTCAGTGGTGGAAGGTGAAGATAACCCCAGTGGTGGAAGGTGAAGATAACCTCAGTGGTGGAAGGTGAAGATAACCCCAGTGGTGGAAGGTGAAGATAACCCCGGTGGTGGAAGGTGAAGATAACCTCAGTGGTGGAAGGTGAAGATAACCTCAGTGGTGGAAGGTGAAGATAACCCCGGTGGTGGAAGGTGAAGATAACCCCAGTGGTGGAAGGTGAAGATAACCCCGGTGGTGGAAGGTGAAGATAACCCCAGTGGTGGAAGGTGAAGATAACCTCAGTGGTGGAAGGTGAAGATAACCTCAGTGGTGGAAGGTGAAGATAACCTCAGTGGTGGAAGGTGAAGATAACCCCAGTGGTGGAAGGTGAAGATAACCCCAGTGGTGGAAGGTGAAGATAACCCCAGTGGTGGAAGGTGAAGATAACCTCAGTGGTGGAAGGCAAATTACCCTCCACCAGTGCAGGAGGACAAAGGAACCTCCACCAGTGCAGGAGGACAAAGGAACCTCCACCAGTGCAGGAGGACAAAGGAACCTCCACAAGTGCAGGAGGACAAAGGAACCTCCACCAGTGCAGGAGGACAAAGCCACCACCACTAGTGTAGGAGGACAAAGGAACCTCCACCAGAGCAGGAGGACAAAGGAACCTCCACCAGTGCAGGAGGACAAAGGAACCTCCACCAGTGCAGGAGGACAAAGGAACCTCCACCAGTGCAGGAGGACAAAGGAACCTCCACCAGTGCAGGAGGACAAAGGAACCTCCACCAGTGCAGGACAAAGGAACCTCCACCAGTGCAGGAGGACAAAGGAACCTCCACCAGTGCAGGACGACAAAGGAACCTCCACCAGTGCAGGAGGACAAAGGAACCTCCACCAGTGCAGGAGGACAAAGGAACCTCCACCAGTGCAGGAGGACAAAGGAACCTCCACCAGTGCAGGAGGACAAAGGAACCTCCACCAGTGCAGGATGACAAAAGATTCCCTTCCCCAGTGGAAGCCAAATTAACCCCCCCTTCCTCTCCATTGAAGGAAGGTTCAAGAACTCCTTCAAGTAAATGATGGAAAAGGAACCCAATTCCCCAGTGGAGGAACACACAGCCGGAGAACATGCAAGGTAATGGGAATTGAAATCATTCGAAATAATCTTATAGCAGCCCCTTCTCCAGGTGAAGTGATTAGACCGAGACACCAACCACCCTTTCACAACACTTGGATTGTTCTCTAGATATTTGTAATCTGAAACATATTCGGGTTCCAGTAATAGTGTATTTATAAATTAAGAGAACCTTTGTCCCAAACAGAAAAGGTTCTTAAGATATAAGTATTGTATTATAAATTGGTGGTTTAAAACATAGTGTGGCAAACTCGTTTTCTTCTATATGCTCTCAGCCCTATGTTTTCCTTAATGGGAAATTCTAAGGGATACTCAGAGTTTTCGTATTTCATATTTCACATGTTTGAGAATAATACTGTTTTAACCTAACCTAATCATGGATTGTCACTAGATACGTAGCACTTCTTACAGTGGTTCTGAAGTGTTTACCAAGCGGGTTCGAACTCACTGAGAACCGGTTGTCATTTGGCGGTATGTATGGAAGATCATAGTGTTCTAGTCATATATATAACCTATTATAAAAAGTTTGTGAGGGTACCACCTCTGGTGCCAATGTGGGGACCCATAGCCTCGGAGAAGAAAATAAATTACAATAACGTATTATTGTATTCTTGTTTTTGAGACTCCGTCCATATGTCTGCTGGTAAACCAGAGTTTAGCATGAACGGCTAATTGTTAGCCTTTTTGTTTACATGTTGAGCATTGGCTCCTGGGCTCCGTCTCTGCCTCTGGTAACCTGTTTCAAAGCTTCTGGTTCTTGGCTTTTCATCATACCAGTTCTTGAAACTGTAAACGATTCTAGCTTCAACTTCCATTCTGACTCGATTAACTTCCTTACTCTTACACTGAGGAAATGTTAACCAACATCTCGGTTAAAGGTCATGGGTACGGTTACCGCGGAAGGACAGAAGCGTTTGAGCAACTTTAATTTCATTTAATGCCTCTGTTCACCTAACAGTAAATAGGTATCTGAGTTGCCTCCTGGGGGAAGGAGAGTAGTTGGCCCAGGAGGTCCTCGATGAGTTCAACAGGCTTCCTGTCCCCGACTATGGGAGACTATTACAAAACGACAAACATAGACTTAACGTTGGCAGATACTTGCAACTGTGGTTTATTGCTGTCACGTGGAGCCTTCTGAACTTCGAAAATTATAATCGTGTCTGGATATCTAGCCTGCTCTAGATATCCAGACACTGGATATCTATTCAATTAATCACAACGTACAAAATACACCGTCCTAACATAACCAGAAACGCAAACGCCCAATCCTCCCACCTAACCTAACCAACCAATGCAAACAAAACGGGGATTTGTGACAAATTGATCGGATTGATCGGACACAAAAAACGGATTTGTGACCCGTTTTGTGCTGATTCCCCAACGTGCTATGACCCGCTACGTGTCATAGCACGTTGCATTTGGGACGCTGGTTACCTCAACATACAATAGCGACGTATTAGTGGAGAGGCCAGACTGAGGTATTATCTGAACAATGTTGAGATGGCAAACAATAAATGTTTAAACCATTAACAAATCTAGCAGATCTAGATTCTTAAGAGACCTTAGGCCTAACAGTGTAATAATGTTCGGAAAAAACATGATTCAGGGATTCATATCTAGAAAAGATTTTATTAACCCATTTAATTTGATTCATCATCTTTGCCCTGACATTACGAGTCGCTTTCTGAGCAGATTATGCAGTTCAGTCTTGGGCTCCGTGTTATGGAATGACAGGAATTCTCTTGACGGTGTCCACAAATGATAATCCCAGTAAC